TAGGAATGGGGAAAAAATCAGAACCAAGATGCATTATGTAAAGGTACAATTCCCAATGAGAAATGTAATTGTGTTGTATACCTAAAATGTAACAGCAAAAGAATTTAACAACAACAAAAAAAGAAATACAAGATTAGGGTGTGGCGAAGTTGGCTGGGTAGTAGACATGACCTCTTTTAGTTAAAAGATTCCAGAACCCATGCACATAACAAACAGTTCCTAAAGCCCTGCCCCTAGACTTCTTTCAAGAACACCAGCAAGTTTTCAATAGGATGGCCTAGACTTGACCTCAGTTTGAGGTGTGGGATCCCAGCACTGCCTCTCAGGACCCTTTGTTGAGGTTCTCACAGGTTCCCTCAAGATTTGGACAGTATAAAAGGACACAAACATGAAGAACTTGCTACCAATATTTTCTTCACGGTGGTCTTTCCTGCTTCTTCAGGGTGTCCTTTTATTGTTTTTTCTCCTTTTACTCTGCCCAAGCTCACTCTGCAGAGCCAGTTTCTCCTTCACTCTTCACTTTTACTTTCTCAAATAAACTTAGCCATTGCTTTTTGCTCATTTTGATCAATTCTTTGCTCCAGACAAGAAGAACCTGAACTCTAACTCCAGAGGTAGAAGTGAGCAACCCAGAACTCAATAACATTTAGTTGGTAAGCCACTTTTAGAAGGAACTACCTAGTAACAGTATCACTTAAAATATAGGCCAGCACTGGGCAATCCATCACAATCAGTTAGTATTGTTACCTTGTGCTCTAAATTCCATGCACGTATCATTTCATAAAATACTACAATGATCCTCTAGGGGAGGTACTAATATTCCCATGTTACAAATAAGCTGACACAGACTTTACGTAAGCAGCCAGATCCCGAAGTGTGGAACCATGTTTCAAACTCCGAGTTCTAGAATCCCTAAGTATACCCTCTTGAACACCACAAAGGTCAGAGAAAAGAGACGTATCATTCCGGTGGCTGCAGCACTGCTACAAATTGGCACTTAGAGGCTGGGTTATACGACCCAACTTGGTTTTTTTGTTTGGTTTTTGAGACAGGGTCTCGCTATACAGTTCAGGCTGACCTTGAACTCACTATGTAGTCCAGGCTGGCCTCAAACTCGCGAAGATCCTTCTGCCTCAACCTCCAGAGTGCTGGGATTACAGGTGTACACCACCACACCCGGCACGACCCAACTTGAAAACCTTCTGTAGACTCAACAGGTCCAAGGTCTTGAAGCATAAAAGTGGGCTGAAACAGGAACATTTTCGGCACAGTATGACAGGAGCATGGCCCATAGACCCTCTGAATTTACCAGGCTGGAAAGTTCCAGGCAGGAACCGGAGGCCATTGAAGTTACAGAGGCAACCTCGAAACTAAGGAGGGGCTTCTAGATTGCTAAGAGGCATGAATCATCCTGCAGGTGAGAATGGACTAGAAAGAAGTTTAAGCAGCTAAAACTCGTAGAATGTAGAACAAGAGCTGCAGGGACACGCAAGGAATCTTCAGTGACGTGAATCACCTCTATCCCTGCCGATCCTTCTACTCTGTAGTTACACCAGACGTGAATGTGGAGGGCAGGGGCTGTACTCTCTGGCTTTAAAACTGCAGATTTCTGCATTAGCTTTGCTCAAATAACTATGGGACCAACTAGAGGCAAGAGAAGACTTAGAAGGGGACCCCACCCCCCCCCGCCATAGTCCATAGCAACTAGGCCTCTTTACAGCAGTGTCCAGATAGAGAAATGCCAGGGGGCCTGGACCAGGGGTCTCGTCAGGTGAGATGATGTGGCTAGCACAAGCCTTCAGATGTGCCAGAATATAAGTGTGTGCACGTGAGTGGAATACGTAGTAGGGATTTAATCTCAACAGGCTTTTCCCTACGCAGAACCCTATGTTCTTCGTAGCAATTATCACGTGTTGTAGCTGTTTTTCCTCTTTGCCTTCAGTCTGTCCTCCAACAAGCCGGGACTCCGAGTCAGCCAGAACCGCGTCTGACTCGGTCTCCCAAGAATACTCAGCCCAGAGAAATGCGCCGACAGAGCTGAGGCCGGGAGCGGTCCTGCCCTAGGGCGACATGGGGAAGTTGAGGAGCATGCGCCAGGGGAGCTGGTCCGAAAACCGTGAGGCCAAACAGACCGCAGGCGGGTTCAGGGTGGCTGGCTGGAGCCACCCCCCGCGTGGCGCTCTGGGAGTTGTAGGCGCGTTCTTTCCCCTCTCCTTCAACCGCTTGCTCGCCAAGCCCAAGGACGTCCAAGCGGTGGGCGTCGAGCTGCCCAGCCTGCCGGCTCCTGCCGCCGGGTCCCAGGTGGCGGCTGCCCCGCCCCCCGGCAGCGGCTTCCGGGGCGCCGCATTGTGGGTGTCGTAGTTCTGCGTGTGGCGGCCAGCGCCCTGCCGTTTCCCACCGAACTACATTTCCCCTCAGCCCGCCGGCCTCCCGCCCTCGCGGCCCCGAGGCGCGAGACGCGAGCTAGCCGAGTGTCTCCAAGATGGCCGCGTGGGGAAGGAGGCGTTTGGGCCCGGGCAGCAGCGGCGGCAGCGCCCGAGAGAGGTGAGGGCCAGCGGCTTATTGCTCCCAGGAGCCGGCTTGGGGTCAGGGAGCCAGTGAGGCCTCTGGCCGCGCGCCCTCTCTGCCTGGGCCACGGTTTTGCCGAGAGGACCCAGGCCCGTTTGGGAGTGGGCCGGCGCGGCCTCCGCGGGGCGCGGCGGACTTGGGGAGGGTGTCAGCGGGTGGCGCGGGGGATCTGGCCCTGTGCGGCGAGGGCAAGGCCTGGCCGGAAGGACCAGGCACCCCGCGCAGGCCCAGGCCCTGGGCAGCCTTGGTGGCTGTGACCGAGCGCCGTCCGAGCTTCCACCCCGCTGTGTCACGCACGTGGCGGTCTTTGCCGCGGCCGGGCCCCAGACGTGGCAAGAAGGAAAGGAAGGGAAGGTTTTGATGGTTGTGAGGATGCGCTCGTTTACTTTGAAGCCTGACCTACCCAAATAAGTATGCCTCCCGGCTTTGGTCTAGCCGCTTTCGCGAGGGGCGATCCGATGCCATCCCTGTGACTGAGAGTTTTGTGCAAGGGCTTCTGCCCTGGAAGTCCTTTACAGTGACCTTTCCTAGTGTGGTTAGGGTGCTAAGAGCTTGTTGCTTCCAGAGTGGTCTTCGTGTTGAACTTGCAAGTTTTGCTTCTGGAAAGTGTCTTTTGTTAGTAGAAGCTACTAGAAGCTGTTTAGCCACTAGAAATTTGAGAGAGAGGTGTATATCTATATGTAGAGCCACTTGAGTTAAATTGTTCTGTCCGTTTTGCTAAGTTTGATTGACATAGAAGAGTTCAGAAGAAAGGAAAGTTTTGTTTTCGCTTTTTTAGTTGTTTCGGGAAGGGTTGTCAAACAGAAAAGTTCTCTTAGCGACTCTGGGTTGTTCTTTCCTCTGATTCCACCCCATTTTCATTGCTATTGCCCCTGCAGCTGGCTTTCTTAGCCCAGAAGATTCTTCTTGTTTGGTAGTTATGACAGCTTACATTTTATTCTTAAGCTTACAGTTATCCAACCCTCCTGCATTTCCTCTTCCTTGGGAGAGCAGTGGCAAAGAGTTTAATACCCAACAGGTATTTCTTAGAGACCACTAAAAGAAATGACCTCTCCTCGGTGCGCCGCGGACATGGTGGCACATGTCTGTAATCCCAGCACTTGGGAGGCAGAGAGGCAGGAGGATCATCCCAAATTCGAGGCCAGTCTAGGCTACATAGTGAGTTCAAGGCCAGCTTAAACTACGTGGTGAGATCCTTTCTTAAAAAATAAAAATAAAAATAAGTAAAAAATTACCTCTATGGTTTTCAGATGTCATTTAAACCTAGCACTTTCAAGATTTTTATCGTAACCATCGATTGCACAGTAATAGGAAATGAACTGCTTAGAAAACTCAGCATCAGAAGGAAAGGTGTTCTTCACTGGATAAAAACAACTGAAAGGGCCAAATAGGGATGACTCAAGCGTGGTGCAGGTGGCTGGGCAAGTTGATGCACACCTGCAGTCCTAGCACTCTTGATAGGCAGGAGAATAGAAAGTTTGAGACCAGCCTGGGTGATTTAGTGAGAAACTATCTCAAGATTTAAAAAATTTGTTTAAAGATTAAAATATTTTAAAAAGTATTGGGGATATTGCTCCATGCAAAGGCCCTGGGTTCAATTCCAAAACAAAACACTAAAACTCAAACATTATAGGAGCCTTGCCGTTAAGCTTTTACTGATCTAAGACAATAGATACTGGGGATTATTTTTCCTTTGATTTGAGACAAGTGTTAATTCAAGAGTTGCCAACCAACATGAAAGGAACAGAATCGAGGATACAGAAATAACCTAAGCACATTCAGCTATTTGATCTTTGACAAAAGGGCTAAAAACATACACTGGAGAAAAGATACCCTCTTTAATAAATGGTTTTGGGAAAACTGGCTGTCCACATGCAGAAGATTGAATGTAGACCCTGAACTAAATCTTTCACCTGAACTAAACTAAAATCAAAATGGATCAAAGACCTAAATATTAAAACAGAAACACTTAACCTGCTGGAAGGCTTAATAGGTAAAACTCTTGAATACAAGTAATAGCACCAAGAATCAACAAATGGGATTACATCAAAGTAAAAGCTTTTGTGCAGCAAAGAAACAACAGAGTGAAGAGACAACCTACAAAATGAGAAAAAAATTTTGCCAACTACTCCTTGAACAGAGGACTAATATATAGAATGTGTAAAGAACTCAAAATATTTGACCTCCCCAAAATAAAAAGTAAAACCACACACAAAAAAGAGTTGCCAACCAGTGTATAGGCTGAATCCTGTCCTTGTTGAGGCTCCATGGCTTTTGATTTGTTTTGTTTGTAGTGCTGGGGACCCACAACTTGTGCATGCTAGCCAAGTGCTCTACCACTGAGCTATACCTCCATCCCCCTCAATAGCCTTTAGGAGAATTGAAATTAGTTGCCAATAGATTTCACATAAAAGACCCTGCAAAGCTGGGTATATTGATTGACTTTCTTTTATCACGGCAAGTGTTTTCTAGTTTGAGGTACCTCACCTGGCAGAGTCATTTCAGTTGACCGGTCTGGTCCCTGTCGGTGTTCTGGCTGCAACCTTTGGCAGTGAACCGAAGTCTCTATTCACACATGAAGATGTGTCAGCCAGGAATGAGCTGTCTGGTTTTGTAGTTCGAGAGTCACCAGCTGCTTTCTTCCAGATAACATGGTGTGGCTAGAGGTTAAACCTCCCCCTTCTGCTTTGCTGTAAGGCCCTAGCCAGGTACTGTGGGCGGAGTTGTTTGCCTAAGTCCATCTTCCCTAAGATCTTCCCTTGCTGAGCAGGACAGGGAAACACAACCTGCCTGCAGCCTGTGAACTGACTCCTGGGCGTACCTCCATTCCTACTCAGTTGGTGGCATGACTGGGTGGAAAGAGCTATATTAATTGATAGCCCAGCACCATAGATTATGAGGCCCAAGTTTATTATTATACTTCATGACTGAAGTAGGCTGTTTATGGCTCCTAAATGATTTTGTTCCATGTCACATTCAGACTAACTCAGATTTCAGCTCCACTGTTAAGAGCACTTTCCTGAGTTGCTCACACTTGGTTGGCATCTGCTTTATGCTAAAACTGAAGAGAGTGTTGTCTGGTCTGGGGCAGGGTTGGAGCAGAGCAGAGCAACATTTTTGCAAATTTGCCAGAATTGTCAATGGCTGCAGACTGTGGAGCATGCTTTGTATTTAAAGGCCAGCCTATGCTGCACTGTCTGTTCAGAATATGTAGTAGATAGGTTCTTGCTTTACTTGGTTCTTGAGTCTAGAAACAGCTCTGGGATTAGAGCTAAATGTCTGAATTATAGCAATTCAGTAGCCATATGATAATTACTTCTTTTTTTTTTTTTTTGAGATAGGGTCTTGCTGTACAGTTCAGGCTGACCTTGAACTCACAGCTATCCTCCTGCTTCACCCTCCTGAGTGCTGAGATCATAGGCATGCGCCACCACACCTGGCAACAATTATATTTAAATTAATTAAAATTAAATACAATGCAAAATTCAGCTCCTCAGTTTCAACCAGCCACATTTCAGGTGCTCAGTAGCCACTTTTGGCTAATGGCTACTACATTGGACAGAACAGATAGAGAACATTTCCATCACTGCAGAAAATGTGGCAGTGCTGGTCTAGACTAAAATAGGGGTAGAAATGGCAAACTAATAGCTGCTTGCATGTTGATTTTTCTCTCCACTCCATTAAATCTAGGGAATCAACAGTATTTGTAATGAAGAGCATCAGACTCTGAGCTGTAACTTGAATTCTTGTCCAGAATTCGGGCATACTGGCAGCGAGCACATCATACAGATTGCCACTTGTCCTCCCGGCGTCCTTGAGGCACACTTGCGCATCTAGGAAAGTACAGAGCAGGTATCTGTGTGTTCTGTTACCTATGTGTCAGCTTGGACCAGCTCACAGACACCCCACCTGTCTTACTTGGGCTGCTTGGTGCTGCTCTCTCAGGGTTTCTGAGCATCTCTGAGTTCTCCGTGATTGTTGGAATGTGAGTATATAGTCCTCTGAATTCCTGTCATGTGAAGATGTATTTGATCTGTGTCTGAGCATGATGCAGGGCAGCCTGGGGTGTTCAGCTTCCAGGGATAGACAGTTTTCTGCTGCCTTCCCTACCCCAGAGTCTGCAGCCATTTGCCTCAGCATTTGTTAGGCATCCAGTTCTATAAGATTACTATGGGGTCACCTCTGCATCCTTCCCTGCCACCTTGGAGGGCTGTGTTTTATATGAACACAGATGGACAAGGTCCAGATCATCAGTGTGGGATTTATTGCCCAGTCCAGCAGAACAGACAGTCCACCAGCCAGGTGGGCAGTTTGGCTTGTGTTCCTAGGGTGACTGACCCTCTTCCTGACTGGATCCTTCCCTTTTAGAACTTGGGGTTTAGGGTATCTAATTTCTGGCTTTTATGTGTGGTGAAAGTTTTTCTTTCCTTCTGGTCTGGAGGAGGTGAGCAGGCACAGGGTTTGCACTCAAGTCTATCAATGTGTAGTTACTTGGGCTGAGCTCTTCTCAGATGGTTAGTGAAGGATGGTGTCACCCATGGCTGGGCTGCACATTCTGTTTGTAATGGGAGAAGGCTTAGGTTAAGCTCTGCAGTGGTTCAGCCTCTTTGGCATTAATGCACCTTGACATTTGTTTCAGACATTTTTTTTTTTTTTTAAAATTCACTCAGGCATTCCAGTTTGCATTCCAGTTGCATTGATTTGTGCCTCTATGGTTCATTCAGGCTACATTCCAGTGGAGACCTACCTTTCTGAGGAGGGGAAGCCTGATGCTGTGTCCAGGGAGGAGGGAGGTAGTTGAGGTCAAGCCTGAGGCCAAAGCTTCTCTGCCTTGGCCTGGGCTGGGCATGTCTTTCTCTGTGAGCCGAAGGGCTGTGGGCGGAGGTGGAAAGTGCTCCATGAGCAAGCACACAGGAACCTCCCAGGTGCCACCGAATTCTGTCTTGGTGCCAGCAGCAGGTTTATGGGCATAGGGTTGTTGGGAAAAGCCAGTAACCACTGAATAGTCCTAACAGTTGATCAGGAATGTGCAGAAGCACTTTCTGTATCTCCACTGTGCAACAGGGTAGCTATGAGCCACATGTGGCTATTGGGTGCTTGAAATGTGGTTTGTGTGTCTGAGGGGCTGCATTTAAAAAATGCAATCTAATTGAAAATAACAACTTAAAATTTAAATAGCCGAAGGTGCCTTACACTGGGTGGTGCTTTACTACTGTCCCCTTTGGTTTGTGTACCTGGCCCAGACCCTGATGTCACTGCTGTGAGAGAGGCAGGGCCTTTGGCCCCACTTGACATGAGAAAACTGCTCCAGGTAGCAAGGTGCTTTGTTCCTGGACACAAAGCTAGTAATTGAGAGAGAGACAACTTGAACCCAGGCCCCTCGACACACTACACTTGGTACTTTCTGATCTTATTCCTCAGGCAGAAGAGCTGCTCAGTTCTAGACCACAGAGGAGGAAAGTGACCTGTATATGGTTGTCTCTGAGATGGTTGAAAGCCTCAGGTGCCCGGTGAGAGTTCCTTGGACTGTTTGGAATCGCCCTCAATATTTGGGCCTATCTGCTTGTGCCTGTTTGTCTGCACTGACCTTTAACTCAGTGGCATAGGGTTTGACTGCTTAATCTTTCTGCTTTAGGGGCTTGAGGAAGCCATGCCTGGTTAACCAGAAGTGGATTTCTGGGACTTGGGGGCGGAATGGTACAGTCCAGCACCTCATACCACATGTTTATGAACTGAACCTGACATGGACCTACTTTAATTTTTCAGGCACCAGTTCTCTTAATTACCATCATTGTTTTTCTTCTTCCCTTCCACTAGTGTCTTTTGGAAGCCTGTTACATTCAGGCCCTTTGTTGGACATTTTGTGAGGAAAAGTTTTTACCTTCAAGGAGCCCAATCATCCCTTTGTATTTTATTTTATTTTTTTATTTTTTTGGTACCGGGGATTGAACTTGGGACTTTCCACTTGCAAGGCAGGCAGCAAAACCACTGAGCTAAATCCCCTGCCCTGAATCCCTTTGTGTTTTAGATGTAAGTTCACACTTGAATCCTGCGTAAGTTTCCAGGGTCCCATTATGAGAAGTAGGCCTAAAGCCACTACAGATAGGGTTTTTCTGGGTCTAGCAAGATGAAAAATGATGGAAACTTGGAAGGCACCATGGCCAGTGCTTACTTGAGTGAAACAGGGAAATGGAGTTTTCTCCACTTCTCTGGCAGGACTGCAGGGTTATGAGACCAGCACACTTCAGCCTTGAGGGCCTCTTGTTACCAGACAGGAAGTGCTGGTGCCCTGGCCCTTCTGCATGGTTACCAAGAAGATTCCAGAGCAGGAAGTGGCAGTCTCCTTCTCTCTTTGGTTCTTTTTACTCCAAGAGATACAAGTTGTTGAATGAGATTTTTCTTTTTAAGAAAATTTTACACTTACTTTTCCCATTATAAAAGAAGCACTTTTTTTTCTTCCTGCCCTTCCCCTCTTTTCTCTTCCCTCCCTTCTTTCTTTCTTTCAGAAAAACAAAAAAAAAAGAAAAGCAAGAAGAAAAACTTTATAGAGGTCACCACCAGGTGAAGATGATATTTTATCTTTTTGCATAGCTCCTTTGATATTTCCCTGATATACCTGTCTTGGGTATTAAAAAATTATATATTTACTATATCAAAAGTTTTATGAAACATAATAAACGTGCCACAACTCAATGACTCTTGATAGGCGTGCACAGCCACATCTGGCAAAATACAAACATTTTTTACGTCAACATTTGGATAAGGGACACTTAGCCTATGTTGCCTTTTTTCCCCATCTCCTGGTATGAGGATCAAATCTAGGGTCACTACCATTGAGCTGTGTTCCCAGCCCTTTTCATATATGTATTTTTAAATATTGAGTCAGGATCTCACTGAGTTGCCCAGGATGAGCTCAAACTTGTGATTCTTCTGCCTGAGCCACCCCAGTAGCTGTGATTAGAGGCATGTGCCATCATGTCTAGTTGTATTGCTTTTTAAAAAAATCATCTTCCATGTACCAGAGGTCAGCCTGTCAAGTTCTGTGGCCTATCTGTGGCCTTAGAAATTGGGGGTCACCTGGTGATGCTCTGATAATTCAAGGCAGCTGTCCAACTGGGTTCTTAGCCAGGTCACATTTGACACAGAAGCAGAAGCCAGGCATTGAGGGTGGGTACTGCGGTAGTTGGAAGGTGGCTGGACTTGTCTCTCTCTTAGGGAGCTTAGCTACCAGCTTCTGAAGTAGATGAGTTCAGAGTCCATATTAGCAGTATAGACCTGAGCCCTTTAATACCTGCTGGGTGCTGACTGCTTGGTCTGACCTGGTGGACTCTGACAGAGATATATCTCTTGCTTGTATGTCTGATTTGGGTTTGAACCTTACACCTCCTTCCTTATATACATCATAAAGGATTCCAGAAATCTGCTTCTCTAGACTTCAGTTTTATCCTGGCCATTAAATGGTGAAAAATCCTTTGACTGGCTTCACAGCAGACTTGGAGAGTCTGAGCCTTGGGCAGGTGTGCATGGCACAGCCCATGGGCTGGCTGAGAAATTGCCTCTGTGTGAAACGCCTGGGTTCTTCCAGTGGCTGTGCCCCTGATTTCAGATGGTGGGTCATTGGGTTAAGTCTAAGTCTGTATGCCTTAGTGAAGGAGAATGGGCTGAGCTGCCCACAGGGAGACACTAGGGCTATGCTTGGCAGGCAGTGGGGAAGCTCATGTCTCTTAGGAAGTACGTATTGGGTGTGCACACTTGTGTCTGCACATGGTGCCTGCAAATGGTAGTGGTCACAAGATACCTGTAGCTAAAGGTAGAGGCTGCCCAAGTCCCAAGTCTGAACCTCAGTGACCTGAGAGCGCCTTACTAACCTAGTATCTGCTGTTACTCCTGTGCTGTGGGGGTAGGGCACCTCATAACAGAAACAAGGCAGAAGCAGGCTGGCCTCTTATTCTCAGGCATGTTGGGACTCATCCACACACCTGCTAATCTGCTTGACAGATGGAAGGAAATAGCCTTGTTCACCGTGCCTGCTTGCCTGAAGAACCTGAGTGAGCCTTCCCTGCAGGGAGGATAGGGCAGGTGAATGTGGGTCCCTTCTTGGGCTTGCAGAGGGAGCTGAAGACTGTCAAGGGTCCTGAGAGGTGGCATCTGTCCACTACTATGCTTCCATAATGGGCTGTTTCAGGTGCTGATTGAACTGGATATTCTTTACTGGGACAAACAGCATTTTTCGCATTAAGAATGGCTGCTGGCCTGCTGGGCAGAGAACTCAATACCATGGTAGATTAGGGATTTTTTTTTTTTTTTTTTGGTACCAGGGATCGAACTTGGGACCTTGTGCTTGTGAGGCAGAGATTAGGGATTTGGCAAGAATATTCTCTAATCCTAACTTGACACCACCATTTACTTTGAGAGTTCCACTGGGATAAACACTTGCCTGTGATGTCCCACAGCCATGTGTCTCTGGGCTCACTTTGAAAGTGGATAGAACACACACCTGCTTTTTTGGAGGAGGGGGGCTTAACTTCTTTTTGATTTCACAAATGGGTGCATGATTTCACCCTTCCAGTCTCCTGTTCTTTGGCCTCTTGACTGATGACATTGAGGCCATAAGGAAATCTGTAGGGCAGGAGCTCTGGAACCTGGGGTTAGAACCCCTGTCCCTCCCATACACGGGAGGCACAGTCACCCTCATAGCTCTGACTTAATTTCTGTGTGATTACATGAGAGCTATTCACCCATCCTACTGGTGGGGTGAAACCTTGCCTCAGGCTTGCTTTTGTTCTAGATGGCTTTTAAAATGCTGAATTCTGGTCTGGAGAAACAGCTACAGTGGCCTCTCACCTCTTTTCTGAATTTTCTCCAAATGGAAACTTCATGGAAAAACTTCAAGGAAAAACTGCTTTTCTGGTTCAGTTTATCAGCTTCCCGTGTGAGGACTGGCATGTTGTGTCACAGGGTGGTTGTCTACATCCCATGTTGAGGCTTCTGAGGGAGCAAATTTCTCCCCAGTGGACTATGATTTAATTAGGAGGCTCTGCCTTACCCCAGCTTAATTAGTTACTTTTTAGGTTTAAGATTTCCCTTTCCCTTTGCTTGCGTCAAACCAGGGCCTTTTATGAAAGGGGCACCCACTTAAGAGTGGGATCTCCCTCTGCCCTTGGGAGCAGTCAGCCCATTACTGATGACTTTTTTTTTTTTTTTTTGGTGCCAGGGATCAAAGTCGGGACCTTGTGCTTGTGAGGCAGGCGGCGGCACCACTGAGCTAAATCCCCAGCCTGACTTTCATTTTTGACAGACCGTGTAAGAACATTAATCAGTTGTTCATCCAGCTGGAGTGAAACTCTGCCTCTAAGGCTTGTTTATCTGCTTCCTCAGTGAGTTTTAAAGAGCTGAATCTTGGCTAGGGGTGTAGTTCAACATTAGAGCACTTGATTAGCAATGTGTGAGTGCCTGGGTTCCATCCCCAGTACCAAAAATAAGTAAAATAAAGTGCCAGATCCTGCCCAGAAGTGACAACTGGAAGGAGTCTAGTCTGTTGGGATTGAACTCAGGACTTTGTGCTTGCAAGACAGGCATGGTGCCACTGAGCTAAATCCCTGGCCTTGGTAATCTTTTTTTTTTTTTCCTTGAAGTTTGCCCTCTCCACTCTGACTTCCACTGCCCTCCTCCCATGCTATTTCTTTAAAGGAGGACAAGAATCTCCTGTGCCTGAATTGAGAGGGTTTTGGGGGGACCTTGTTTTAAGTGTCTTCACTAGTCCCTAGCATGTCATAATGACTGATCAGGCAGCTTTGAGCCTAGCTCCCTGTAGCTTTCTTCTGCATGACCACTTGGTATGTAGGTGCCAGGGGACAGGTCAGATGGGCTGGACCTTATGCCTAAGGGGCACTTGGGCTGTGCTTCTTATTAGCCACTGAAGGAGCTGCTTTTGGCAGGGACAGTCAGCTAGAGTAGATGGTTACATTGTCCCTTGTGTGGCCAATGTATACAGTCAGAGCTCTCCAGTTGGAGGGGCATGGACTTGGGTGGAGGGAATGGTGACTACCAGGTCCCTGGGGTCTCATCATTGTGGTGGGTCTGACCAGCCTGTAAACAGCTTGATCCCACTTCCAGTGCTGTGTCTAGCAGCGTCTCAGTCTGGGATAAAGAAGGCTTCCTGAAAGATAAGCAGACAACAGAGCCAGGAGCAGTAGTCAGTGCTGCGTGACAATATGGAGGCTCAAAAAGATTGGGATAGGCTGAAACAGGCCACAGGAAAGTGGAGTGTGCAGCCCTGTACTTCGGTCTCCCTGTCCCAGGTGTGAGAAGATCTACTTTAGAAAGTCCTGCACAGGAGAGACCACACTGAGCCCCTACCCTACCCAACATGCGCCTGGGGGTGAGGTCCACTGTTGACTGGCTGTGATGCAGAACTGAGTCTTCCGTGGAGCTCAGTTTTCCTCTTTCCTGGCCAGGATCATGTTCATAATCCCCAGTGCCAGGGGAAGTTGGGAATCAGACTGGACCTATGAGGTGGGCCCCTATGAATAGTGTCCTCACAGGTGTGAGAGCAGCTTTTCCTGGGCTTGCAGAGTCATCGTGGTGTTGTCATTTGGGCTGTTTGAGAAGCCCTACAATGCCCGTAGAAGTTGTGAGCCACTTCTGTCCCAAGCCTTTTCCCAGCTCAGGGAGGCTACTTTTCCTTTACTGTGGTCCTTACCACAAAGATAAGGAGCTGGTGAGCTGCGCTGTGGACTGTTCTTCCAGAAAAAACCAGAGTTGGTTTTCAGGCTCCCAAGGTGAAGCTGTCCCTTTTTACCTTTTGTTCTACGGGCCAAAGATGACCACTTTTGATCCAAATGAAGGACGGAGTGTTTGGCATCATCTGTTGCAGGGTCTGTGGTTTCCATGGAAGAGCATCCTACAGTTGCCCTGATGTACAAAGAGCAGCTTCTGAGTTGCTGACCTTGTGTTTCTCTTGTGTTCATGTCCATGGCATTTGTGCTGAAATTGTTCTTCTCCTCTGGGCTCGTGCTGAGATGCAGACCTAGCAGGATGTCACCGTGGGCTTTGTGCCTAGCCCCTTGTCTTCTTAAACTTCCTGGTTTATTATTTTATTCTTTCAGGGAAGAATAATCTGATTATCTCAGGGGTTGAGTTCTAAAGTAGATAAACATGTAAGTGAGGTGTGCCCCCAGGGACGAGCCCCAGCCTTCTCCCAGTACCTGAGGAACACTGAAGTGCTTCTTGGCCTAACTGCCTGTCTCTCTACCCACCAAAGGGTGACCTTGTCGGCCACAGACTGCTACATCGTGCATGAGATCTACAATGGTGAGAATGCCCAGGACCAGTTTGAGTATGAGCTGGAGCAAGCCCTGGAAGCCCAGTACAAATACATTGTCATCGAGCCCACCCGAATTGGTGATGAGACGGCGCGCTGGATCACTGTGGGCAACTGCCTGCATAAGACGGCTGTGCTGGCAGGCACTGCCTGCCTCTTCACCCCATTGGCACTGCCCCTAGATTATTCCCACTACATCTCCCTGCCCGCTGGCGTGCTGAGCTTGGCCTGCTGCACCCTCTATGGGATCTCCTGGCAGTTTGATCCTTGCTGCAAGTACCAAGTGGAGTATGATGCCTATAAACTGTCTCGACTGCCTCTGCACACACTCACCTCCTCTACCCCGGTGGTGCTGGTCCGGAAGGACGACCTGCACAGAAAGAGACTGCACAACACGATAGCACTGGCTGCCCTGGTGTACTGTGTAAAGAAGATTTACGAACTCTATGCTGTATGACTCCAGTGAACAGGGAGCGGAACAGAACCACACAGCCTGTAAGAGACGAGGACGCAGAGGTTTTTTGCCACAGTGATACTTTTTGCTCTGTGAGGCAGCGGAGCCTGGGAAGGTGTTTGGTTTAATATTTGTTATTTTTTAAAAAAAGAACACAGATCATGGGTGTACCAAGGGTTTTTTCAGCTTATTACAAAAATGGATTTCCATAACCCTGGAGGGGGTCTGAGGCTATGGAAGTCTTAACTAGGCAGTGGACTGTGGATGGAAGCCAACGCTGCTGAGGGGGTGTGAATGCGCTGGGGGGGGGTGTCTTTAAGTATATTGTTTAACTGTACCATTCAGAGCCAACCAGAAGCTATTGACCATTAAAATTATGAGAATTTCAACCCTGCTCTTCTCTGTCCATGCCTGTACCTGCAGCTGCTGCTGTGTGGAGACGGGTGCCACTGTGGACATCACCCTGCCCATTGCAGCCAGGTGCCACCACTTGCAGTGATGACAGGCCTAGACCTGGGGTCTTGCTGCCAGACCCTGCCCAGACATGGTCTCATGGCTTACCTTGGCTTGTTCCCGAGGCCAGTGCTGCTGACATGCTATTCAGGGACATGGCAGGGTTAGGTAACAAATCCTAGAGGTCACAGGGCCTCCTTTGGATTCACTTGGGAATTATGGGGGCCAAGAGCCCTCTTTCAGAGAGTCTGATTTAGGAGGACACAAATTAAATTTGTGTTTTTTAAAAGCTGTTCTTGATGTGGACCCATGGGTCCCAGTGAGGGAAGAGCTCTGGAAGCAGTCTAGGTTCCATTTCACAGAAGCTTCTGTGGTTCTCCCTTAGCCTAGAGCTATATTCCCCCTAAGGCTTTGGATGCATGAGGAATTGTCCCTCCACAAAGGCTGAGGCCTCAGTGCTGTCTGTTGCTGAGAGTCACATAGCACCTCTTCTGAAGGCCAGGCAGTGTGTCCAAGACTAAGGTCAGCTAAGCTGACCTTGCACCCAGTTATGAAGGCTCCATCCAGGAAACCCAGTCCACACAGCAGGGTCTTAACCTGGGGTGCATGGCAAATCTTTAGGGAGATCCACAGCTTTAAAAAAGTTTAAAGAAAATTTGACTGACTTCCAGGGGCCCTAGAAATACCAACTGCTCTGTTGAGTGTTGGATGGCAGAATGATGTGAGGTGCACAGTATGTTTACATAGCAGCCTTTGGCCAGTGGGAACAATGGTAAAGAGGGAGCTGCCTTGGCCAGAGATCCAAAACAAACGCCTCATTTCGATTGTGCAGGGTAAGTTGGAATTGGCACCCACCTCTAGGGTGTCTGAGCACTGGCTGCTAACCTGCTGGGTAAGCACAGTATGGTAGGTGCTATTGTAAAAGACCCAAATTTGGGAAGGAAGCCTGTGTCTAGCCTGGCTCTTCTCATTCTGTACCTCAGATTTCAAGGGGGAGGTGGCTGGAACATGACAAGCCCTGGGACTGCAAATCAGATGAGCAGATGCCCTTGCCCAAAATAAACACCAGGAGGCTTGACAAGCAAAGTGGAAAGTGTCTTTAAACTTTATCAGATATATAAAGCAAAACCAATTAAAAATCATGCTTTTCAGACCTCCCAGCAGAACTTGAGGAAAGTGGGCCAAAAAACCACTAACCTTTGAGGATAGTAAAACAACGGCAACAGAGCTATTCATGATGGGCACTGCTCAAACACTGGTTTGAAAAATCCAAGAGCAAAATGAAGGTTGCTTAGAGGCCACAAGCTGAAGCCAGGCCATGGCTGAGCTGCCTTAAGGTGGGCACTTGGCAGGCCTCGTCCACAGGAAGGCTGTCAACTCCTGTCCATGTTAGAACAGTCCCAGGGCTGCCTCAGGAGGTCCTATGTGTTCAAACCAGTGCTCTCTCCAGGAAGGGACAATTCAGGGTTGTCTCAATGTAGGAATGGCAAGGGTGATCCCAGGTTCTCTGGGTCTTTAGTCTTTGAGGCTAAAACGAGCATCAGTCTGGTGCTGGTTTGTGTGACTTCTATACCTCTATGATTTGCCAGCCACCTTAAAAAGCCTCATGGTCAGCCTCTTGGCAAGGAGCTGTATCCAGCTAGATTTTTATAAATACTGTTTGCATTATATTCTTCTAAAGTAAGTTTTAGAAAACAAGTTTTAAAAATGTTAGGTGAGAAGTGCTGGGGCTGTAGGTCAGTGGTAGAACACTTGTGTAGGTGTGCAAGGCCTGGGTCCTATCCCCAGCACTACAAATAGATGTGATGTTCCCTGTCTTTGAGGATAGAATATGCTGTCAGTAAGCTTGTAGTGTAGTATATCCATCAGGGTTGACCATTTTATTTAATGGAGAGGAAAGGTCAACAGATGGATATAGGCCTTTTTGCACATGCCAGTCATCAAGTGTCTAAGGAGAGATATTCTGTTCTTTTTAGAGGAAGAGAGTCATTTTGCTACCAGCCACTGGTAGCCTGCTGGTGCTGGGCAGCCTCATTCAACCTGGGTTGGGGGTGGGGAGGTTGGAAGGAAGCTCTAGAAGTCTAGAACAGTTGCTGCCACCTTGGCTCCAGTGACTCTGGTACTGGGATCTACTGTGAACACTGAGAAGCCCTTTCTCCCAAGCCAGGACAGGTGCAGATGATTTACGTGGAAAATGAAGCAGCACCCATCATTTGTATTTGCATTTCACCAGAGGTTCCTGGATCTGTCCAGGGTGTACTACTGTGACCTGGAGCAGATCTAATCACCTACAGGTCCTCCTACTCCCAGGAAACTGGAAAGCCTCTGATTCCCTAACCCTAGACTGTTGTAGCTATTTTTATCATCTTTTGGGGGCAGCTGTTTAAAATAGAAGCTTGACATGGCTAGAGTTGGGATACAGTGCAAGATGTCAACATGACAGACTAGGTGATTTTTATTCCAAATTTGGGGACATCTACAATGGAACTACTATTCCAATATTCAGTTTCAGTAGTAGGAAAAATTTCTAAAACCTCAGAAATGAAGTTGACCTACTCAGTGAATCTCAACCACGTATTTTTAATAGAAAGGCAGATGTTCCAACTAGTTCCCATTTAAGGTACTCTTTCCACCAGGAGACCAGGGGTGTTTTAGACTCATCTCCCAGGGCTTCGTGTTCTAGGGTATCTGGGGCCATCAGGGGTCTCTCCATTTGGCTGGTGTCTCTTTAATAATTTAATCTTCTGCTTGAAGGGGTGCCTAACATCTTACATGGATACACTGAGAGTCCGAAGGAACGTGAGGAACTCCTGTTGGTGCTAGAGTTGACATTACTTGGGATATACCAAATAAGCCACCACACACTAGCCTGGCTTCTATGCTCAATGAGCCATCACAGGGCCCTGGAAACATATGAGTTTCTGAAGCTACACCCTTCACCCTCAAGCACTGGAGGTTGTCTCTGTGCCAAAACAATCAGGGAGATGGTCTTGGATAAGTCAAATATAAGAATAGTTGAGCCATTTCTAGGAGTTGGTGGGGCTGGAATTCAAAGGACATGTGGTTCCTCTAGCCCTTGAAGACTATGACTTACTGTTCCAGTCATTTAATTTGTAATTAGTTTAAACCCTGCTCCACATTTATTCCTCATGCATTTACCCCTCATCTTGGGAAGAAGCTTGTTGCCTGGTTTGTCCTGCTCTCCAGGGGCAGGGGCCGAGCCACAAATGAAGTTGTCCCTTGTAGAGCAACCAAGCCCAGGAAGTTGTTGCTTCTCAGCCCCAGCTCTGATCCACATTAGGAGTTCTTGGATTTCTGCTCTTTCCTGGCCCTGGAGGCCATGATGCTAAAGAAGAGCCCAGGAGCCAGATTTCGAAGATAAATGGCCAAGGAAGGCACCCAGTCAGCCAGGATCACATCTTTCTTCTTCTTCCCCACAGCAGCAAGAACATCCTGGGCCACCTCTGCAGGGCTCCGGCCCTGGGCTGTGTTTCTGTCCATAGCTAAAATAAAAGAAACACATGAACTTGGAAGCAGAGGTCCCACTCTTGATCTGAGCTGACACGAGCAATTAGGTTAGCTTGCTGCACTCCCTACTGGGGAGCTCTTCCTAGTCTGTCAGGAAGCAGAAGCATCTGATATTCTTAGCCCCCCCCCCCGCATCCCCACTATTGGGAATTGAACCCAGGACCTTTGCACTTAGTTACATCCCCAGCCCTTTTTTAGTTTTTAGAATTTTGAGACAGAGTCTTGCTAAATTGCCCAGGTTCAGCTTGAGCTTGTGATCCTCCTTCCTCAGCCACCCAGAGTGCTAGGATTATAGATGTGTGCCACAGTGCCAGACCCTGATGATTTTATGTTCTGAGGAACCATTCACAGTTCCAAGTAGGTAAGTGGGGGTGAGGGAGATATGGGGTGAGGACTGGAGAGCCTACTCTGCTTGGAACCACAGTGAGTCCATCTGGTGGTCTATGGTGAAAGCAGAAGGCCAGCCCAAGTAAGGTCTCAGAGCTCCTCACACATCTGAGGAGCTTCCTGACCTGGGAAACTTTTGCATCTTCGAACAACCAATGACTAAGCGATGTTATACATATAATTTGCCTGGGATGGCTTAGCTTCAGGGCTACCAGATAGGAGATGGGAAGGACTGTCTGACCCCTACATGCACTATCAGCTCACAGAAGTAGACAGATGCCCTAGCTCCCAAAGTCCTGTTATCTGGATAAGCCAGGAAGAAATCTTGTAGTTTGCTTTAGGTGTTGGAGGGAAGGAGGGAGATGGTAGAGTTTAGGAAGTGTATGACAGTAACTGATGTTCCTTTTTCACTAGTGATCTCACATTTTGCTGGCAAAGTAGGAGAAGTAAGCAGGTGCAGGAGACAGGCCATGGGCACATGCCATGTGAAACCATCCATAAGCTGTCCACACTGCCTGAGCTCCCTCACTGGGCCTGTTCTCATGTGTTACTGCAGAAGGATGGGGAATTTCGATTGTTGCTTATTTATTTTTAAATGCCAGAGACAATTTTTAAAGCAGTATCTATCTTCTAGGGATAAATAGGTATGAAGCTCTTGCCTGTGTGTGGCTTCTGCCATGGGGAGACTTGTTATGTGAGAGAGCAGATGCCAACCAGGACAGGGAAGTCTTGGTTCAGGCCCAGCAGGGTGGGTATATGACCAATGAGTGGGCCCTTGGCCAATGCTTTAGCACAGACCCACAGAGATCACATCCAGAGCAGCAGGACAGTACTAGAGAGGCAGGCAGGTCTGTGCCAAAATGAGGCACTTGTGGGACAACTGACCCGAAATAGCCTGTGTCTGCATGCTGGGATGGGATAGGCCAGGACTTCAGCCCATAAGTAGCAACTGCAGGTTAGCTCAGACCAAAACTGCTGCCCCACATTGACTCACCTGGAAGACCAGCCCTGAAATCAGTCATAACATATGGGAAGGGACTATTCAGGCCAAACCTTCCCACTTGCCATGAGGTTGATTCACTTAGGCCTGATCATGACAATACTTCGTGGATCTTGGGATTTGGGAATGGGTTAGATGAAGTTTGGTGGCATTTCAGCCTAAAGATTTCCTTTCTATGCCCCAAAGTCCTCAACCCAGGCTCTTTGTGGAGTTAAGTGAAGATTATGCAAGAGTCTGTATTTATAACGAATGTGAAGATTTTTAGTTTAAAAAATTCTCTTCCAAATGAAAATGACTGAAGAATCACCGGGGTAAAAGAAGTATGTCCCACTGTGGCTGCCCAATAGCTTTTCTTTTTTTCTTTTTTTAAAATTTTGCTTTGTTTGGAGACAGGGTCTCGAGATGTAGTTCAGGCTTGCCTTCTGCCTGTGATCCTTCTGCCTTAGCCTCCCAAGTGCTGGGATTACAGGTATGTGCCACCACACCTCACTTCCAATAGCTTTTCATAGGAGAAAAAGAACCCTGCCGTACCTCCATATCTGGACCCATCACTGGTGACAGCATTTACAGAGAGGTTGGTGCGGATATAGCCAGGGCTGATGACAGTCACCTTGATTTCATCCTGTTCCATTTCAGCACGCAGGCAGTCAAAGAATGCCTGGGTTGCATGCTTGGAGGCTGCATCTGCAACAGTGGAAAGAGGCAGTGAGGGCAGTGGGGTGGGCAAGGCCCAAAGCCTACCTATTTATTTCCATTCACTGTCTCTCTTTCAAACCTGGTTTTACCATTTAAGAGTATAGCATTATAGCAATGTTCATTCTTGGTTTTGAAAAGTGCACTATGTCCTTGTTCTCAGAAAACATTGAAATAGTAAGGAGGAAAGGAGCATTGTGTACCGAGCCCCCTTTCACACAGCTTAGAAAGAAAATGCGAGTGTGCACACACATGCGCGCGCGCACACACACACACACACACACAATATGCTAAAGCAAATAGGGAAGAGGTAAAATGGGGAATCCACATGTAAGTCACATGGGAATTGTTTCTGCTGTTTCTACAACTTTTCTTTAAGTGTGAAATATTCCACATTAAAAGTTAAAAAAAGGGACACGGATTTAGCTCGGTGGTTCTGGCGCCTGCCTTGCAAGTGCAAGGTCCCGAGTTCGATCCCTGGTACCAAAAAAAAAAAAGTTACTGCCTACTGAGTAAAAAATTCAAAATAGTATACACCATAAGGTAAAAAAGTGAAAATCCTTCTGTTTTCAATTCTGATCTCAGAAGTTACCAATGCTGTTTCTCAGACTTTTTATTTTATGTGTTCACACATGATTTTACATAGAAGTAGTATTTTTTTTTATTGGAATGGGAGCACAGTTCCCATTGTTCCTACAAGTAGTTTTCTTCACCAGGCACAGGCAGTACAGACTCCTTCCCTGCCAACCCTACATACCTACCACAAACAACATCTCAGGTTGTCTCATTTCATCTGGCTCTGGCTGCCCAGTCTTCTCCTGGGGTTACTAGGTGACAGGACTGGTCCTATCAATGGACCTCAAGGGCTATTTCCAGCTTTTGCCACTGTAGAACATGCTATGAGTGAGGATCCTTGCACATACATGTGCATAAAATCCATGCCTAGCTTCTTAAACACTTCCCCTGGCAAACTTCTGGACAGTAACTTTCATCTGGAAGAGCCACAGAGCTTACTCTACCTACAAGAGACAGAATCACCTGTGCTCCTCAGCAACAGCTCCACAAGCCAGTGAAAAGTAGTGCGGGGACACAGGGACCCTGAAGGGACATCCTTGGGAAGTATACCAACATCTTCACAGAAAATCAGTTTTCTCTAGTTCAGAATCCTAAATGTTTTTAGTCTTAGTAAAAAAAGTGCATCACCCATCAGTCAAGAAAACAGGAAGGGAAAAAGCCAGGAAATGGCACAGCAAATCACAGAAGAAACTGGTCATGGGGGAATTGTGGGTGGAGAGAATATGGCTGTTGGCTGTGATTCCAGGGCCAGCCCAGCCCAGAGGATGGGGAAGAATGGGTCACCCTGGTCTCCACAATAGGATACACACTGGTGGCTGGGTCTCCTCTGATCTCTTAGGCTGCAGGTGCTTAGCAAGGATGAGCTGGGCCAAGCCCTCACTGCTGTCACCATCACCTGCCCCCTCTGTGCGTGGATGATCTGACATGGCCTCTCAGCAGTAGTGTGAAGATGAGGCTGTTCCCTTGGCTTATAGATGAGAAGGCTGTTGCCGATCTGGGTTAATTCACTCACCCAGAAGGCACAGCCACTCATTCAGTCTGGTTACTATACAGCAGTGATGGTGAACCTTTTAGAGCTTTCAATGATACAAACAGCCCGTTGTGGCACACATGCCATAGGTTCCCCACCACTGGTGTACACTATCAGACCAATCATGGCACCTACTGAAGTCAGCAAGCTGTTAAGAGTGTAAAAGCCAGTGGGGTTAAACCAAAGTAAAATGTGGAAATAATGTAGTACAAAGAACTCTGTATGCCCTTTATGCTGATTTACCTATTGTTAATGTTTTACCTTAGTTGCTTTATCATTTGTGATTTCATATAGTTGTTTTTATTTTTGTTTTTGTTTTTTTTTGTTTTGTTTTCTGAACCTCTTGAGCAGGCTTAAGTTACTATCCTGTTTGAGCAGGACTGAAATAGAATATGAACAAACAGAGAAACCTTAGAGATAAATATGGATACAATTCTTTTCAATTTATAGAGGACATCTCCAGCTATCTCATTTCATCTTTTAGACCAGCCCTGGGAAGTGTTCTGATGAGTGTAAGTCTCATGGAGAAGGAAGGAAACGGAGTCAGTTCAGGTCCACAGACATGTGACCAGAGCTAACAGGCAGAACAGGGACTCAGATCTTGGGGAAAAGCATAAACTTTTGTTCAGATGTTTGGTTACACATTATTGAATTGGAGTGTCACTATCCTTTCAACACTCTGAAAGAGCTTAGCCACCCACCTTCTTCCTGACAGGGCTGTGTCTGGGCCTTGAGGGGTGAGAGCAGATGAGGCTGTCCCAAGTCTTTCCTTTCAGAGGTTGCAGCAAAGAAAGTGACAAGATGGTTTATGAAATTTCCTTTAAAATCTTTTAAAAAGCAGAAATTATACTCTGTATGCTTGCTGATGTGACGCAGAGGTAGAGAGATGGATGAAATGATATCTTAGATTGTGGCATAGACACTCTCCTTTGTGGAGATGTATGTATGAACTGGAAGGCAAGTCAGTAGGTTTAATTTCGTCTCTTACTTGAAAACAAGGGTGGGCACAGAATGGGGAAGATTCTTGCCCAAGGTCACACAGTGGGTAAGGAATAAAGCTGGGATCTGAACTGAGACATGTAGCTCCAGAAAACCATGTTCACATTCTGTGGTTCCTTCACATTCTGTAAAAGGTATTTTGTCAATATCTTAATTCTGGAAGTAAACATTTTTATAATCAGAAAAATAAAGAAAATCATTCCAGATGAGGGAGGGAGAAGAAAGTACTCACAGGCTGATCGGAAAGGAATGCTAATTTTTCCTTGGACACTGCTGATGGTGACGATGTGGCCTCGCCTCCTCTTGATCATGGATGGCAGGAGCGCTGAAGGGAGAATGCAGTGATGTAGATGGCACTGTTCTCCCAGCCATGGGAAGTGACAGCCCCTTGATGACAACCATGCAGAAGGGGAAGGAGGCAGGGGGAGCCGACAAACAGCCTAGCTAAGTAGTCAGCACAGCACCTTTGTTCTATGGAAGACTGTCCCCTGGACTGATGTCTGTGCCCAGCATCAAAACATTCCCACATTGTCAAGGTTTGCAGACATCATGGGAAAGATACAGGCAATGCTGTGCAAATGAGGCTGCACTGCAGAGACCCTAATGTGTGAGAATAATGCACATAAAATATAGATAAAGGCCTGAGGGGGAAAAACACCCAAATTGTAATGACCATAACCCCTGTATGGTATAACAGCAGACAGGGACAGGCAAGATCTAACCAAAATGGAATCGACTGAGACAAAAAGAATGCCAACACATCAGTGCCTTTTCTCTTTTAACCCAAGATTGTTACCTTTTGTTAAAGCAACAGGGCCAAAGTAGTTTGTCTCCATAACCTTCTTGTCCACATCCACTGTGGTGTCCATGATGGCCCCACGGTAGCTAATGCCAGCATTATTGATGAGGATGTCCACATAGCCAAAGCACTGCAGGATCTCAGCTCCTGCAGCCATGACAGCCCTAGGGTCTGTGAGGTCGAAGGTCACTGTGTAGGGCTTGTGTGTCTGCTTCTGGTCAAAACAACAGACACAAATGCACTTCCTGAGTGATGTGTCCCTGCTTTTCAGAGTTCTTGGAATGGCCCACTGGGCATGAAATGACACATGATGCAGTAATCTTCTTCCCAAGAGATGAAGCCTACAGGGTTCCTGCCTACTGTCATCATACCTACCTGGGCAACTGTTCTCCTGAACTGAAAAGGACGGCACCCTATAAGAAGTGACCTGGGGCCTCTCTCAGCTTCATTAGACAGACTGTAAGCTGCCCAGAGCAGGGTCATGGATTGCATGGCCTGCCGTAGATTATCATAGGAGCTATTAGTTACATCTCCCCACACTGCTCTGTGTTGTCCATTGTTACTACCTTAAGCAGCAGTGTGTGTGTGTGTTGCTGTCTTTCTCAAGGTATGTTACTTGTAGTCATTTGTTCATGGAATATTATTTACATATCTCCTGTGTGCCAGGGACTGGGATGTAGCAGAAAGACAAGGTTCCTGTCCCTCTGAAGCACACAGTCTAATGGAGAAGACAGGTTCTATAGTTCTATAACTGTAAAGAATGCTATGAAGAAGAAAAGGGTGCTAGAGAAATAAGTAATTGAGCAATGTAACTTGGAGGGCTTCCCCACAGAAGTGAGGCTAAAAAGACACCAAGAAGATGAGTGGGATGAAGTCAGAGAAGATGGCAGAATAAGCAGGAAGCACCAAAGATATACTCGCAGAAACTCTCTGAAGGGACCCTTATGGAATGGTGGAATTTACCTGAATGCTTGTAACTTCCAGGGGAGTGTTTGCTGGTAAACTGCAGTAATTTTGGTAGATTTCACCCGTTAGCTTACTGATACCTAGCAGCTCCACTACCACTGCCCCGCTGGTTGGCATTGTTTGAGTTACTACCAGCTACAGCAGCTTGTACCTTGCAGTGGAGGCAACTTCTAATTTAAGGACTGTTGGGAGCAATGCTACATAATTTTAGGGAAAAATCATTTGGTTAGCCTAGTTCTCCTGCCTACAGCCCAGCTATGGAATTTGGAGACATAATTGCATTTTGGCCTCCTGTCACAACTGAGACCTCAATGATCCGGTGATGCTGTGATTCTCCAGGACAAGAAACATCCTGGGAGCTGAAAACATCCTGGGAGGAACAAAACATCCACTCAGTTCCTCATTATTCTTGGACCTTTACCATCCTGTTTACGCAGATGTACTGAACTCTCTGCAAGCCATTTGTTACCTTTGTTTCTCCCGATGTCCTGAATAAAAGGTGCAGTAAGCTGGGGGCTTTTGTCTTTGCTGCCCTGAGCAGCAGTGATCAGACTCAAAGCTCCGCTTCTTCTCAGTCTCATTTGTCTACCTGTCCTGTAATTCGCCATGTGCTGCCGTGGCTCGCAGGAGACCAGGACTCACTGCAGAGGTTCTGGTAACATCCCCTTCCCGTTCCCTACAAAGGACCTGTGACTGTTTTATGGACATTCAAAAATACAAATAAATTTCAAAAAATATACTCAAAGAAATACTGGACTTACTAGACAGAGATATTAAAAAGACTGACGTGCTGGCACATACCTGTAATCTCAGCACATTGGGACACTGAGGCAAGAGGACTGAAAATTCGAGTCCCACCTGAGCAACTTAGTAAGATTCTCAAAATATATATATTTTTAAAGGGCTGGGGCTGTAGCTCATGTAAAGGTTCTGGGTTCAATTCCCAGTACCACCAAGTAAAAATTTAAAAAAAGACTGTCCACTATGCTCAAAGAGTAAGGAGACATGGACAAAACCAGGAAACTATTAAAAATGGGAATATAAATTGAAAGATCTGGAGCTGAACAGTACAATAAGTGAAATAAGATATACAGGGAAAAGCAAACAAGCACACTGAAGAATTAGTGAACTTAACGAAAAATGAAATTATCATATCTGAGGAACAAAGAAAAAAGAATGAAGAAAAGTAAACAGTGTACCTAAAGGTAAATGTCACTCCATCAAGCAGACCAACATACACACTGTGGATTTCTAAGGAGAGAGAAAGAGATAGAGGTAGAGAGAATATCTTGATGGCTAAAAACCTCCCAGCTTTGATGAGACATGCATGAACCTACACATCCAAGAAGCACAGCACCAAGTAGAATAAACTCAGAGACCACATTGAGACAAATTATAATCAAACTATTGAAAGACAAAAGGAATCTTGAAAACAGCAAGAGAGAAGGGAACTCTTCATATAAAAGGAATCCTCATTAAGATTATCAGTTGAGGGCTGGGGATTTAGCTCAGTGGTTTCGCCGCCTGCTGCACAAGTGCAAGGACCCCAGTTCGATCCCCGGACCCAAAAACAAAACAAAACAAAACAAAAGATTATCAGTTGACTTCTCATCAGAAATCTTGAAGACCAAAAGGCAGTGGATTTATATATTCAAAGTAATGAAAGAAAAGCACTATCAACCAAGAAGTCTGCATCTATACAACTGTCCTTCAAAAATGAGAGAAAAATAAAGATATTTCCAGATAAACAAAAGCTGAGGGAGTTCAATGTCATTAGGCCTGTTCTGCAAAAAATCCTAGGGGAATCCTTCAGGTTTGAAATGAAAAACTGCTGGACAGTAACTCAAAGTCAAAGGAATAAGTAGATCTCCAGTAATACATGGGCAGTTATAATGGCTATTATTACTACAATTTTGGTTTATAAATCTACCTTTTGGGTTCTACATAATTAAGAAGACAAATGAATAAAAACTATTATTAATTTGTTACCAGGCAAACATTATAGGAATATTTAATCTGTGACATAAATATCAGAAAGGGGGGATTACATGGGGGCAGAGTTTTTGTATGCTACTGAAGTTGATATAAATTTAAATCAGTGTTATAACTTTAGGATATTAAATGTAATCTCCATGTCAGCCAGACATGGAGGCACATGCCTGTAATCCCAGCCCAGCCCTTAGGAGACTGAGGCAAGAGGATCACTGTGAGTTTGAGGATAGCCTGGGCTACATAGCAATACACTGTCTCAAGAAAAAAAAAAGTAATCCCCATGGTAACCACAAAGAAAACATACATATAAAAATAAGAGAAGGGAATCAAAGTGTTTCACTACAAAATATCAAATAAACAAAGAAGTCAGGAAAAGAAGAAATGAAGGACTGTCTTTCCTCATCTCTGGGACACAATATGCAACACCTAGAAATTAAAGGAAGAAAGGTTTATTTTGGCTTACAGTTTGTAGAGGTTTCAGTCCATATTTGGCTGGCTCCAAGGCAGAGGGTCATTGTAGAGGAGAAACAGCTCATGGCATGATAGTAGGAAGGAGGAAGAGCTCAAAGGAGGAGGGAGGCAGCTATACCCATCCAGGCCAGGCCCCTAGTGACCCACTTCCTCCAACCTGGCTTCACCTCCCAACATCACATTTAGGTATAACTCATCAGTAGACCACTCCACTGATGAGTATCACGCCCCAATGATCCAATCACTTCCCAAAAGGTCCACCTATGAGCACATGAGGCTTTGGGGGGAACATTTAAATATAAACTATAACAGGAATAAAAGAGCTAAAACAGTAAAATACTAGTAGGTCTCTCATCGGTAATTACTTTAAGTGCAAATAGATTAAACTCTAGTCAAATAACAGAGATTGTCAGAATGGACTTTTAAAAAATGATCCAACAATATGTTGTCTATAAAAAGACTCATTTTAGCCAGGGATCGTGGCACACGCCTGTAATCCCAGAACTCATGAGGCTGAATCAAGAGGATCATCATGAGCTTGAGGCCAACTTGAAATACACAGTGAGACCGTCTCAAAAGCACAAATAAGTATAAAGTAAAAGGATGAAAAAAGATATTCCATGCAAATAATAACCAAAGAGAGTTGGGATGGCTATACTATCAGACAAAACAGACTTTAAATAAAAAAGGGTCACGGAGAAGGATATTATATAACAATAAAAGTTCATTATGACAAGAAAATACAAGAAATTATAAACATTTATGTAGCTAGTGGCAGGCCCTCCAAATATATGAAGCAAAACTACTAGGAAGAAACATTAATATTTTGATACTTCAATACCATACTGATATGGTCTGGTATGTATGTATGTATGTATGTATGTATGTATTGTATGTATTTATTTATTTTGAAACAGGGTCTGGCTATGTAGTTCAGGCTGGCTTCCAACTCACAGTGATCATCCTGCCTCAGCCTCCCAAGTGCTGGGATTACAGGTGTGTGCCACCACGCCCGGCTGGTTTGGATTTTAAATGTCTCTCAAAGGTCCTTAAGCTAAAGGCTTGGTCCCAGGCCTGTGGCACTATAATGGAAGATGGACTCTTGCAGAGGTGGGGCCAAGTGGAAGGAAGCTAGCTCATAGCTTGTGTGGCCTTGGAGGGGACAGACAGTAGAATCCCAGCCCCTTCAGCTCTCTGGCCCCTTCAGCTCCCTGGCTTTGCTTTACAAACACCCTGAGGCTAGCAGTTCCCTTCACACTCTTCTCTCCTTGATGTGCTGCCTTGCCATAGGCTGAAAGGCAATAGAGCTAAGTAACTACTAAGTGAAACCTCAGAAACTGAGTCAAAATAAACTTTTCCTCCTTTTAAGTTGGTTTTCTCAGATATTTTTTTCATAGTGATGGAAAGCTAATGTACCTATTTTCAACAAGGGAAGGAACAACCAGACAGAAGATCAATAAGGAAAGAGAAGACTTATACAACACTATAATCCAGTGAGGCCTGAGAGAGATGTACAACTCTTCACCCAACAAGAGCAGAACACACATTCTTCTCAAGTGCACACTAAACAGTTTTAAAGCTAGCAGAGGAAGAAAATAACAATAATTAGGGCAGGTATAAAACAGACAATAGAGAACATCAATGAAACTAAAAGTTGACTCTTATTTAGAAGAAAAAAAACAGTGAAATTGAAAAATCTGAGCTAGACTCATAAAGAAAAAAAGAGATACAAATAATTAAAGTGAGGTCATTGCTGCTGATCTTTCGGAGATTAAAAAAATTGTC